TTGCTCTGGCAGAAGGAGGCGAGGGACCCATCTCGCACAAACTCGCCGCATGTTAAGCTTACTCGTTAAAATCTCTTGAACTGTTCCATAAGACATGCTAATATCATTAGCTATTTCCCTAATCGTAACTCTTTGATCTTTCATTACATATTGTTCAACCTCAGACACGTTTATCTCGGTACTTACGTTCAGCGGGCACCCAGATCTATCATCATCTTTCACCGTCTCCCTTCCCTCAATAAAACGTTTCATCCACTAACTTATTGTACCTTTTGAAAGCCCATATTCCCAATAAACTTTATGTAAATCATCGTATATTTTCGTGAAGGATTTACCTAGTTTTACATAAAATTTTATTATAGTTCTTTGTTCAAGTACGATTGACTCGTCCATTTTCGTCACAGTCGCCTCTATATTGACGTCGTTTTAACATCATGACGTCATAATTATGACGCACATTTCAACATGACTCATACTGCATAAAGCACATGTTAAGGGCTGTATTTGTGACAAATTTCATTCTTGTCAGAACTGTAGTTAGGTAGATAGAGAATTAGTTTGCAAACTTTTTGATCACCCCTCGTAATGCAAGTAGTTTAATTGCAGACTTATATAACCAATTTTCATCAGAAACACTAATGTGTGAATACTGTATTGACTCTGTTGAAGATGCTCACCGTTTTTTTTTTTTTTTTTTTTTTTGCTTGTCCGAAATATATACCTCTTCAAGAAATGTACTTTTCCAAACAATCCAAAATATTATTGATTGTGATCAAATTCATAAACTTGATTTATTTTTGTGTGGTAGTCCCAATCATTGATTGGGTATTGATATTCAAATATTTGAAGCAGTACATGCTTTTATCGCAGCAACCAAACATGTTATTTGACACTGTCATATATGTTACTTATGCCAACACTTTCTAACCGGTCCTACATTGTATTTTTTTTCTCTAAACTCTTTTTTTTGTTTCTTTGTTACTATGTTTGTCTACTCAGGGGCGGATCCAGCAATTTTTGAAAGGGGGGGGTGTTCCAGGGTTATGCCCCTCTACCCCCTCCCCCCTCAATACATATTCTAAAGCAAAGATTCACAGACGTGTATGGAAAGATTTAAGGTTGTGGTAAATACTATCTTTGTTTTATGTCCTTTAAAAAAAGCGTACCCCCATTCCGAACAAAACAAAAACAAAAAATAATAAAAAACTACGGAAGCCTTAAAATTGAATGGATTCGTATCACTTCCGAAGATTATAAAGAATTTTCTTTCAGAATTTGAAAAAAAACCTTTTCGGGGTGGGGTGCGGGTGGGCTTTAAAACAAAGAGTTACATGTTAGTTCGTTCAATTGATCAAGATATGATAAAAACGGTACATATATAGCCAACACAGTTAAAGATCGCGGGAATCTAATATCAAATTAAACCTCGCATGTTACATATCATATACAAGATATATAAAAATAAGTAGAATATTTTCTACCATTCTCTCATAAAAAATATAATAGAAGAGGTGATTGGATGAAACTATTACTAAATGTGTGAGAATCTATCTATTCAATCAATAAATAAGACGTACAAACATATAATCTAGGAAAATGTTTTATCCTCTCTCTCTCTCTCTCCACTTGGCAAAAAATAAAGGGGGGGTTCCAACCCCCGGAACCCCCCCTCTGGATCCGCCAATGCTACTTATTTTCATACATATATATTGTGTGTTCATCTTGACCTTCTAGGGAGAGGGCTGAAATAGGTTTTGCCTGTTACCCGATCCCATTCACCTTATGTGATTAAAATTTTGTATTAGTAAACAAAAATAATTTTCCACATTATACATATGGAAAGTAAAGTAATTACATATAGCGATAATTATTTCTTAATTACCGATTTTTTTTTTTTTTTTTTTTTTTGTTATTGTAGTAGATTTAAATTATGGAATACTATTCTGGACTATAAAATTAATTATTTAATTAAATCGTACCAATTTTACTTATAACCTCTAGGAATTTCAAATGCTAGGAACACACAATATTTGCATACAAACGCACGATTAATATTAAAACAATAATTTTACATAAAAGACATTTTCGCAGGGGGAATAAGGAAGCATACAAAATATTGTACCTTGACTAAATCAGTGCTACATTATGATGTTATAGTAGGCGAGATGACGTCAATTCTAGAACACAAGTTTTCGTAATATTGTTAATTAGAGATATAATTTAACTCTAGAAAATGAAAAGGAACGTGTAAACATTAACAATCAAAGTACTGAAAGCACTCATGGGAGTTGAACACTGTGTAAAATAAAATCTTTGATCAGGAGGTTAAGTGAGTGAAAAATATTATTTCAAATACAGACAACTGTTTAAGATTCTTTGAGTTGCAACAATCTTGAGAAAGACATTCAGAGACATTAATTAGCAAAAAAAATGCATGGGGCATAAGGTTTGCCTGCCTACATTAGTCCTTTTTTTTAATACCCCCTGCTTGAAAAGCGAGAGGGTATTTATTAATCGGGATTTCCGTCCATCTGTTTGTTACACTTTAGGTATACCCAACTCTTATCCACAACTCATCTTTCACCACTGAACTTAATTTTCATAGAATCTTTATTACATATTGCCGTTATACACCTTCTAATACTGTAATTTTCATCCTACACATATTTTAGGTTTCCCATTGCAAAACATGGACACTGGCATTATATTCATATTAGAGGCGGCTGATCATTTATATAATTCACTGCTCACAGTCTTCAAATTTGCAATATATTTTTCCTTGGCACCTTTACCCATGTGTTATGAAAATTTGAGTTTTGCGGGAAAAATATCAATGTTGATAAAATGTGGATTTTAACACAGCATCCTTTTAAGAGCTAACAGGTTTGTTATATAAAACTTCTCTGTGAATATAAATGTATTTCAATTACACGAACATTATACATGGACTACATCAAATCTTAATCTTTTTTAATATTGTAAATAAAAAAGCAATACCAAGTTTAAAACAAATATTTAATGACCAAACATAAAAACAGTGGTATAAGTATGTGAGAGTTTGTGTGCGTACAAATCATCTGGTATGTAGATGAGGTTTTCCTTTTATTAAAAAAATATACTTCATTTTGTTGTTTTTAATCGCGATTTTACGAAAGCATCGGTGTCCGATTTCGGTTTTAACAATTATAACAGAGTACTAGATTTACCGCTTTTGGCAGGTGCTACTGTTGATTTAGTAATAAATACGCATTAATGAATTCATTTTAACCAAGCAAATGTTCATGAAAAGTTTGAATAAAATCTGTGCATCGGTAAAAAAGAAATTGCTAAAAATCCGGTACCGTCGGGCGTCGGGAAGACTAGATTCACCGCTTGCCGTCAGTATGTAGAGTTGTCGTTCGTATCTCTTTCAGTGTATGACGCTACACTAAAAATGAGTTCCATTACGAAAAACTTTTGAGGTTCTTTAAAATTTAGTTTTACTTTGAACGAAATCTAATATTCAAGATAAGATTACTTTATCATTACATTTACTTACATTATGAAAATTAGATCAATTCAGAATAAAATGACACGAATTATTTGTGGCGGATGTTCATGCATGTTTTCTGTTGAATATCATTGGAGTAAATCGGTCGACACAGTAGCCTCGCTTTCGGCTCTATATAATCAACACAAATTACTGCGCATGTTAAATGCGTGATGACAATGGGAGATTGAAACATAGTTCAACTCCCATAAATGAAACGTTCTTATTTTGTTATCCTGTATTCTGTCATTTTGATTAAAATGTACCACAGATGACGTCATATGTGTACATCAAGAACTTTAGAATTGATTATGTCGTGTAAAGAGAATTTGGCTAATACAACATGTACAAAGATACGTAAATGAGAGTTTAAAAACAAATATCGTGAATATTTTGTGAAATTCGTACGGAGTTCAATTAATAAAACATGTATGCTAATTTATTTTCATCGATTATATTCTCTTTCGAAGACAGTCAGCTATAAACGTATCCCGGTCGGTCATTTGTTACAAAAATAATGCAACAGAATAAACAATAATAATAAGCTGTATATTTCAAAACATAAGATTCGTACAGATGGAAAGTTTGCATCCTAAAATACTTGAAAAGTGCTGCTAGAATCCCGAGTTGAGCATGTTTTTACGAAAAGTCTCGGTTCATATGTAAAAAATTCAAAACATCGGGTAAGGTTTCGTGCGAATGTGTTGAATAATTATTTTACTGACGAGACAGTGGGATTCTAGCAGCACTTTTTAGACAGAATAAATGTTGTTCAACTACAACTCAGAGAAATTATTAAACTCCGGGGTATTGTTGTTCTGTTAGCTTTTTCATTAAGGAAAATTTCGCTATTAATAGATGTCACGTGATGCCATGGTGGTGGAGCACGTCGTTGCGTTAGACGATCTTTTACCTTTATGCAATAAATAATAATAGTTTACGTTTATCAGCGGTTTTGGTAAATTATCAAACTTAATTTTCTTTAAAAAATCTAAATTTCCCGAAAAATGACTTGTATGCTACCTTAACATACCCACGTTGATAGCTTGGACAATTATAAATTAAGAAGCAGTATTTGACAATATCACCGGAGGTGTGGATAGTGTGTGTTTACTATTCCCAATTTCCAATTCATTTCAATTTTCCATTTTATTTTAAAATTACTTAACTTTCAAAAACACCGTGCTATAAAAAATGTTTTGAATGGTCGACTATCGTTCGAATAATGCAATCGTGTGTTCGAATATTAAGGAAAATTAATATTTTGATATCCCTAGTAAACATAGAATAAAAAAGTGAACACCAAAGCCGATCGTAGAAAAGGTACATTGAAGGTTTAATAGATCACATTTTTATTCTTCTCCTTATCATAACTAAGAAATAAAGGATATGAAAACGGAATTTTTACATATAATTTTCAAAGAATAATACAAATCTCTTAAAAACTGATAAGTTAAAAGAACATTCTTACCAAAAGAGTTACGTTGTTCCTTAACTTCAATGATCTTATTCTCAGTTCTCTTCCTACTCGAAGTAGAATTACTTTGCATCTTTTGAATTTCATTCTCTGTGTTGTTTAGTTTTTGATGGAAGGTTTGGATCTCAGCCTGTAGCTTTTTAAGTTCCAAATCTATTGATAACAGAAATAAATTAGGGAAAAAAAAAAGAAAATGTTCTTATAAAGAGTATATGCAGTTAAAGGTTCTTGAGATTAAACAACAAAAAAATTTGGAAAAATAGTAAACTGAAACTGCATTTATGTGTTGTTGTATTTTACCGTGATTTTCTCCAACTTTTTTGTCAAAAGAAGTACAATAAGATTGCAGCATTTGAAGCTCTGTCTCTAATTGGTTAATTTTGTGATGAAAGAGATGCATCTCCGTCTGCAGTTTAACATCTGCCTGGTTAATTCTTCTATTGAAGGAACGCATTTCAGTTTGAAGCCTTTTGTTTTCTCGGTAGCATAAAAGTTTTTCACAGGGTTTTTTCCGCAGTTCACAAGAATGTTGAACGTTTACAATCGTGACAAGGAATAAAAAAATAGGCATTGCAATTACAACTATTAAATCCCATGTCATAGTAATATACCTTATCAACTTGAATGTTTTCCACCGCTCTCCTTTTTCTAGAAAAAGAATTTGATGTTCTTATTTCCGACGATATGATAAAATGATTATTGTATTACATGAATATAAAGGTACATATTTTACGTTAACAAGCAAGAGTCTATTTATGATATGTTAGCCAAGAAATACCTTTTATACTACTCCACTGTTCCATTTTAAGGTTCCACTCTGAGCACTAGCTATCAACGTATTTGCTATATCTAGCTTGCTTTGACAGTGCAAAGCAGTATTTTTCTTCTTATTTTTCTGTAATTTGAAACAAAATTGAATTTTTTAAAACATTAAACCGATTTCTCAAAGAGGTTTTTAAGACATAAAAAAATCTTAGGTAAGAATGAAAAAAGTCAAGAATTCTATAAACAAGATAAAAAAAGATAAATCGGATAATGCTAAAAAGGTTTTCTCGCTTAAAATTTTCGGACGATTAAGTTTTTGTCACTACGAGAAATAATAACCTCTGGAAAATTCGGTATTGAAAAATTATAATTGTGTATTTCTTGTGTATAGTTTATCACATGCGTTTTACAATTAAAATGGATTCATGCTTTTCATTTATTTCAGTGTCATATTCTTATCATTGCAGTCATCCAAGATGAGTATGATATACCCTACATTTACTGGATTTCTAAACTTTATAAACCCCCTTACAAACAAATCCTTACAGAAACGATACATTGCAGGGCCTACATGTGCTCTAACAAGCTGTTGTCTTTTTTTCCTACCTAAGGACAGATGATGCAAAAATGGATGCCTGCATTGGTACATATTTCTGCACACCGTTATGCTGCAAATGATGCAAAATTGAATTCCTAAAATATCTAAAAATTGTAAACGTTCCATTAAATCCTGTCTTTCTGTAACCATCGTCATTAATCTATACAATGAAACATATGAATATAACGATCAGTTTTTAAGAAAAAAAGTCCAAATCATTAGAGGTGGGATCTTCCAAATCATTAGAGGTGGGATCAGGTGCCATGGAGGAGTAAACATCCCCTGTCGACCGGTCATACGGTTTAATGATAAATGATCCCCAAAAATTGTTACTCTGTGTGATATGTCATCAACAAAATTACTTCGTCACAAATCACTCTGATGTTATGCGCTAGTACTCTGGAGTTAATATTAAATGGATGCTGGGTTTTTTTTATTGACATCATCTATTTAGTCTTCGAAGACCAAATCTTTTAATAAGCTGCCGATGGGCACTAAATGTGTATCTTTATTAGACTAGCTCGTTTATATCTTCCTGTTATAAGCAAAATGAATTCGAAAACGTAGATTCGAGTGAAAACAAAAACGGCTTCAAACAAGACATTTAGATTAATCAACGACGTTTTATCAATTAAAAATTGTAATTTTTATATAACCATATATTGACTCAAAGACAATAATAGATAGTTAAGATCCCACGGAGTCTGCCATTTGTGTGTTTTGCCTTCTTGTTTGTACAAATTGTTAGACATTTCATTTTGTACTAAATTTGACTAACAACAGAAACGATTATAAACTGTCAAATTTTAGGACGTATTGTGCATTCCTCAGGACAAAGAAATTAAAATGAAATAAACAGACGAAAACAAAAACTCAAGCAATTCAACTAAGCTTGTTATTAACAGTTTTACATTATGAAAACTTCAATAGAGTACATACAGCAGGTAGGAGGGGTCCGGTTTTCCTTCAAAACAATAGATTAATTTCTTTCAAATAAAACATGTAAAAATTGCAAGCATAATATACTTGTATTAATTATTAAAGTGTTAGGTAGTTAGTTTTTTTCTTCTATTTTTTCTTTTTTTTTATTTTAAATATATTCTTTGTCCTTAGGAAGGGACGGGGCGCCCTCAAAATTAAAAAAACAAATATTTTATTCTTTGTGTTGTTGGTCATATTTTGGCTGAAATGTTTCATATCAATTGTTAGGCCTTTGTTTATACTGATTTGACAAAGGCACTTGTTTTGGGAATAAATTTAAACCCATATTATGATAATAACACAAGGTATCTAACTCTCCCTTAGAATCGCGCTCATTTACACTTTCAGAGAAAAAGGTAGTGGAAACTGTTTATACCTATGCCATCTACCATATATGGCTTTCTTGTCTTTGTTTTCTTTAAACTCTATCTCCGTAAACAGCGTCAAAACTCTATTCGCCGAGTGGAAAAATCGAAATAAAGCATAAAACGGTATGTACCAGTCTCGGGCACAGAGAAAAATTAAGGAATGTGTGGGTTTAAGATTTCAATTCCAGATTTAAAATATTGCATTGAAAAAATAAAATTTCATTGTGTCTTATTTTCCATAAAAATACTACGATGTTTTCCGAAGTAATTTTAGAAACAGATTTTTAGCCAATCAAATTCTAGGTCTTATTCTTAGCCCGAGACTAGAACATACCATTCTATTGTTGAGTTTGACTTTCCACTCTGCGAGCAGAGTTTTGAAGCTGATCACGGAGATAAAAGAAAATAAAGACAAGCATGTCAGGTATGGTTGTGTAGATAAATTACCGTAGAAGACATAGGTATAAACAGTTCACCCGTGCATTTCTTTTGAAAGTGTAAATGAGCGCGATTCTAAGGGAGGGTAACTCGGTGTAAATCGGAGTCGATACCTTGTGTTATTATTATACTATGGGTCAAAATTTATTACAGAAACAGGTGCCTGTGTGATTTGTTTACGGAATATTCCGTTTACCTGATCAATATATAGGGAACGCAGCAGGTATGGCCGGTCATTAGGGGATGCTTGCACTTTCAAGCCACATGATCCAATCTATGTAATTTCCCATTGTTCGTAATTTATACCTTGTTCACGGATTTTATTTTCAATATTGACGGATGGTTAACTTTATCTTCTTCATATATAGTAATATAAGAGGTGTTAAGAAAGTTTGTTCCAAGATGAAATATTTTTCAAAAATTTACAAGTAGGAATGAACTAAAGAGATGCTCACTCCTCCATTGCACCTGATCCCACCTCTAATGTTTTGGAGGTCCTTGTTTGCTCTGCTCCTATATTTTATTGTTTTATTGACTTTGGATCTTAAAATACTGTTTCTTTTGTTATATGTTTCATTTGAAGATGAGCAGTTTGTCCACTAAAAAACCCTCAAAATGTACAACTTTGCGTTCATTAAAACATATTTACAATCGATAATGCAGAAAGGCATGAAAATGAATCCCGTGTATACTGTTTTATCCTTACAACAGGAAGGCCGACGGAGAAGCGGTTCAAATTCATTTTTTCAATAATACATTACCATTTATTTTAAGAAAAAGGCTTACCTTTGTTATATATAGGTTAGGGCAAAATCTAAATCATTTATATTTCGTTGAGCATATGTAGATAGATACGACTACACACGATTGATAAACACACAAAACGTTTAAAAACCTAGATAAGAAAATGCAAACAATCTACTTATAAATGACCTAGTAAATGATGACAATACAACTCTGCTCTTACTGATCTGATGAATTGAAAGAAAAATTACAAGATTTTTTTATTTCATAATCTCAAACAGTTATAATCAATATTTTGTGTCTGGTGTAAAATGATAAATCAATGCACAATAAATGAAAACAGCGATAAAACAGTCATGGAAATATTAGCATATTTCTGCCCCCCAACGTGCAAGAAAAATTCTGTTAACATGCAAGAAAATTATGCCAACATGCAAAGATAATTATGTAGAAAATCTTCTTACACATTTTCTTTTACATTTTGACATAAATAAGTCGCATGTCTTCATAATTATATTGGAACTTGCATCTAAAATGTCAGATACAGGCGTTAATAAGTAGATTACTCACATTTGAATGATATTTTCTGATAAAATAAGTAACTTGCATGTCACCATTGCTTGAGGACGGGTCATATTCAAAGAAATGGTGACTGAGCAGAATTTATCCGTACAAGGTTCATTGTAATATTTAAGAGTATTTGTATTAAACATTATAAACATTGATGTTACACTCAACTACATGCAATATTTATATAGTAAAATGGCTTTATAGAAAGGTTTTACTTTAGGAATTCAGTAGACAAGCAAAAAGAACTTTTATTATTTGAAATATCTATAGTTCCACTTTTTTTCCCATATTTTCTGGCATCTTTTTTTATAGGCCTACTGTATTAATTTTGGAATCATATACTAGGCATATTATTACTGAGGAATATATAACTCTTTCTATAAAGGGAATATGATGCCTTTCTTTGAATCTTTCGTCTTGTATTCTTTTCGTCAACATGTGAAACACTTGTATTTTAAGATAAATATGTTTACCACCAATATTATTTCTTAAATGCAGATAAAGGCTTATTTTTTTCTGCTTTGATTTTTTTTCCAAGAAATAATCTTTACTTTTAATTTTCTTATTTATCTATTAAATATCAGAAACCCTCTGGTTCGGTTGTAGCAACCCACTTGGCGAGAGAGTAAGTTAGAACTAAATCATATATTTTATTTCATCCTTGATATATCTGATCCATTATAAGTCGTGTTAGCAGGTTTTCCGAAACATCAGAGGTGGGTCAGGTGCCATGGAGGAGTGGGCATCACCTGCTGACCAGTCACACCCGCCGTGTGCTCCTTGTCATGATCGGGAATTCACAGAAAAATCTTCGTATATTTACGTTTCCTGGAATAACGTGTCCAGCAGGACTATTGATATATTGTGAAGACGAAAATAAACTCGATGTAGGATTATGTTTCATATGCACAACTCATTATTAAAAACAAAATACTTAATTTAAATAAAATCAGAAAACAAAGATGACTTCAGTACATTATCGTAAGGCGTAATTTTTGAAGTAAAATTTGATTTTACTTCAAAGAGACGGGAATGTCCAGAAACCTTTCAGAAGTATAATATCAGAGCAAGAATAATGGCGATGAGAGTAGTTAAAATAATCATTAAAAACGAATCCAGCGTATTGCAGATTTCTTTCCACTCTAGACTTTTCTTTGAAATTCCAATATTTCTCTGAAGATCAGTACACTCAGCAATGGGGTCCAAGACCTATAAAAATATTGTATCATAAACAAAATGCCAGAATTTTAAACTTATAAAAAGGTAAACGTCGGTTTCTGTAATCCAAAAAATACGCATAAAAGCAACATTTTCGTTATTTTCTTTTGTTCTTTTGGGATTTATTTTTGTGTTTTATTACTATTTTCATTGCCATACTTTTTGAAGATACTTATGCTACAATTTACCAAAAAAATTCATTTTTCGAATTACACGTAAAAATTAAGGACTATAGACTGTCGTTCAGATCATAAGATGAGTGATAATAAAAATAATGTGTAATAATATGCATTAGACTCTCTGATGTTTACCTGATTTAACTTGAATTCACTACACAAAATTTTAGAAATAGAAATTTAAGCATATCAAAACTCTTCCAATTAATTTTAAGATTATTTACCTGTATAAGGAACTTTAGCACCGGGATGTCTAATTCCGGATAATGTGTCATATTTCTCTCTCTTATTTCTTTTATGTTGTCATCGCAGTAGTTTGTGCAGTGAAGATAGTCCAGTTGAGACAATCCAAGAGTTGTTCTAAATAACTTTTCAAAGTCTTCGGATTCTCTTTCCTGTACTTCCAGATCTTTTTTTGTAAAGACACCAAATACTGGGATATCTGAATAAGCAAGGTAATAAAACAAATGTGTAAGTCAATATGTTCATGTACATGTATCATCATTTAACTATTATTTAGGAAACATGAACTAAAAAACATTTATTTTTCTTGTAAATGTTGAAAATCTTGAAAATACAAATTATGGGGAAAAATCAACTCTTGAAAACGCTAGGGGTAGCTCTTTATCAAACCATGAACAGGGACAATACCCCTCGGGAAAGAGTTATCGCACTCACAGCCATTGAATAAATTAGTTATAATTGTTTAATAATGAAGAAACTGAAAGCATTCATTTGGCATACAATATAGTAATGAGTTTGACATAAGCATTTCAGTAGAACATCCTAATATGAATGTATTTTCACAATTCGTTTTATACGCGTATACTGGACTTATAAATTTGATCATTTTTGTTATATCCAACTTTCAAAAACGTGAAGGATTCTGTGAAAAAACCCATAAGGGTTGCTGAGTAATGATGAGCTAAATTCAAAATTTCAGACAATATTTTCAGATCGATCAATTGTTTATGGATTTATACATTTAACCGATCATGAAAAATCGGTTATCTTAATACATGTACTTTACAATATCTTACGCATTATGTTGGGGTTTTTATTGTTGTTTTTTTTTTAAATTCACACCTCTTTTTTTGTAGAGTACTCTTGATACCGCCTGCATAAGTTGTACTGGTAAATTTCGATCTGCAGCTGAAGCAACAAAAATAACTCTGTCGAACTTTTTGCATTCTGGTGTTTCGGGATACATCTTATCCGTAAACCATTTTCCGTGTCGTCTTATGTTAAAATGTAAGAATAATTATTTTTTATAACTTGATTATAATTATTTCAAGATTTTACCGTAAAAAATTCAAAGAAACAAAAAAAAGCACAGATACACAGTAATAACCTGATTTCCCCTGCTACATTAGCAAGATGGACATTGGACGGAATTCTTCCATAAAATAAAAGGTCAAGCAGCTCATATGTCATTTCATCATTTGTATTCTGAAACCCGGCTATTTCAACAAAGTCTGGAAAATCATACTCCCGAAGTGATTTGTCGGCAGAATATAAGTATTTCTCCCTTGATATCCTAATATATTAGAAAAAAACATCCTATAACCCCTTTTCTCAAAATTAATAACTCATCTGTAATGTAGGAATTTATTATTCGTTATCTTCATATGTTTCATAAAAGAAAAGTATTTCCCTTCACGCTTTACCGATTCCCGCTTTGTGTAACTGGTAGTCCCCCAAAATCTGCTGTTCTTCTCCATTTTCGGTAGTTTCCAGTTATGCTAGTTATCATGGTGTTAATGAAGGAGGATTTTCCAGACCCAGGTGTCCCAATAACAGCCACAGTCAATGGTGCACCAGTCTTCTTTCCGATTCGCTCTTTTAACTCTTCCAGTAATTTTTGTTTCTTTTCTTCTGTATTCAAAACGACCTGTCCAATGTAATATGAAAATAATAAATTTACACAAAATTAACATGATTAAAGCAATTCGTGGCATAAAAATAAAAAAGCATTAAAGTTTCCAATGATTTCCTTTGTTACACTCTGACTACACTCTGTAATATAACATGAAATATTTTAAAGTAAAAATAATGTATAAAAAAACTAAAATCTTTTTAACGATTAAAAAACAATGGGCATAAATGACGGTTAATTTATGTTATATACGGTAATCACAGACTAAAAACAAAACTTTATGACAAACATGATTCCAACAGCTTTTCAATCGTAAGTGTCCTTTATTTATTTAGTATTTTTCCACAATCACCATATGGTATTTATGTCTTCAAAATGATTCGATACAGAAGAGCATACTTCGAGTACATTCAGTATGTAGTTAGAGGCATACAACAGACAAATAAATTTATTTTACAGGAATTACAAGAGTCAGCTTTTCCGAATTTCTATGATGCTTATAAACACCATATAAACAAAAACACCTCATTTTTATCCCGTATGTTTTATTCTAACGACGTTATGCCGGTTTACAGGAAGTTGATCCCATCTTTATTGTTTCTATAAGCCACGTTATTGTCCCGTTTACAAATTGCAACTTTTACAAGATGACAAAAAATGGTCTCTATGCGTTAGTTTTTTTTTACCCATATACGGCATTGATGTTTTCAGACTAAGGGAAATTCATAGGTATTTTTTCATGTCTACATTGCGTCATTTGTTTTCTGCATTCACATAAATACAAGAGATATATTCAATACCTTGCATTTCATGTGTATCCTATTATGTACAAGTATGATAGTTATCAAAGAATTAAAAAAAATATACCTAAAAGACTGACACATCTGTTTTATTTTTTTGATATATCTGTAGACCTTTTAGCTCAATTTTCAGATCATGTCAAGGAGCACACGGCGCATTTGACCGGTCGACATGCTTACCCCTCCATGGCGCCTGATCTCAAATGGGATGTTTTCACAAGTTCTTGTTCTTTTGTTTGTATTGTTTTCATGGACGTGAGATTGATTACTGTTCGTTATCTTCATATTCAATTTAAATATTAGTTCATTAACATCTAATGGTGTTATGGGTCAGAATAACCCTAAATGCCAGCAAAGATCAATCACACAGTTTAAACTTAACAATAATTTATTTACAGTAATATACAAATCATTAAGTACAAACTTAGCAAAAATCTAAAAATACATACATCAGAGTGTCCGTTGCTGCACACAATGTCCCAGTGAAATTATATCCCAGTAATACCTCAATGATGCTTATACGACAATTCTTTATGCATCGAATTGACAGGGTATTTATACAGTATTATAAATCTAGAATATTCTAGAAATTGTAAATACATGATATTCCTGGAAAGTTCTAGACATAAACAAAGTTCAAGAATGTTCTAGAAAAAATGACCAAACATATTGACCACTCTGGAATGCTCAAGAAACTTAATGTTACTAATAATATACAAGATGAAACAATACACATCTAACAACACCTCCCCCCTTAAAAAGTTTGAATGTCAATGAAAACTTATATTATTAAAACATAGGTACATTAATACAAAATCTAATTTGTTCACGACACTCTGGACAGGGCATCTGCAATAACATTGTCTTTGCCTTTGATATGCTTAATTGTTATGTTGTATTCTTGTAACAACAAACTCCATCTAGTCAGTCTTTGATTTTTGTTTGACAATTTATGCAAAAATGTCAGGGGGTTGTGATCAGTATACACAAGAATTGGATGCAATGTAACATTCAGATAAACATCAAAATGCTGTAAGGCTAACAACAAAGCAAGGCATTCCTTTTCAATGGTGGAATACTTTTGTTGACATTTTGTAAGTTTCTTTGAAAAATAAGAAACAACTCTATCTACATTATCACTATGTTCTTGAAACAAAGCTGCCCCGATTCCAACATCACTAGCATCAACAGTAAGCTTAAATTGCTTAGAAAAATCTGGAGTTGACAGAACTGGGTTGCTCATAAGGACAGATTTGATTTTATGAAAGGATTTTTCACAGTCCTTTGTCCATTCAAACTTAACCCTCTTCTGCAAAAGATTTGTAAGTGGACTAACTACTGAGGAAAAATTTGGACAAAATTTTCTGTAAAACCCAGCCATGCCCAAAAACCTCATTAACTCTTTCTTGTTTTTAGGAATCGGGAACTTTGCAATAGCTTCCACTTTAGCCATAATGGGTGTAACATAACCTTGACCTACTTTATGACCTAAATACTCTACATAAGCATGACAAAATTCGCTCTTCTCAAGATTTACAGTTAAGTTTGCTTTAGCTAAAATGTCAAATAAAGCACGCATGATTCGGAGATGTTCGTCCCATGTTTTGCTGTATATGACGACATCATCAATGTAGGCCTCGCATCCCTCAAGGTCTTGAAGAAGGGAGTGAATCAAAAGGCATTACTTTATACTGGTAAAGTCCATCTGGTGTAGCAAAAGCAGATATTTCTTTTGCTCTTTCTGTTAACGGTACTTGCCAGTAGCCTTTCAACAGGTCAAATTTACTGACAAATTTCCCATGTTGTCAATGCAGTCATCGATTCTAGGTATTGGATATGAATCAATTTTGGTAACAGAATTCACCTTTCTAAAGTCTGTACATAATCGGTACGAACCGTCCTGTTTTGGTACAAGAATACACGGTGAGCTCCAATCACTTTTACTAGTTTCAACAATGTCATTGTCCAACATGTACTGCACTTCCCTTCTTAGGTACTGCAATTTTATTGGATTCAGACGGTACGGATGTTGTTTGATAGGCAGAACGTCACTCACTATGACATCATGACAAGCTGCATTAGTTTTCTTTGGAACATCCGAGAAGATTTGATGATACTCATTCATCAAGTTTTTAACTTGTTCTTTTTGGTGAATGTTCAAATGTCCAAGTTTGGATCAAAATCAACCAAAATTTCTGTGTTTTTCAAGCGGACACTCTGATTACAATCTTTCTCATTCATTTCTTTACTCGTATCACTTTCAATACAATTTTGAACAGTCTTAGCATTGGCTAAAGTGGAAACTGGTTTTACAGAATTTCGGTCACACCTTTCAAAATACTCTTTTAACATGTTAATGTGACAAACCCGTTTCTCTTTACGTCGACCTGGTGTCTTAACTACATAGTTTACATCACTGATCTTGCTTTCAATTTCATAAGGGCCATAAAATCTGGCCTGTAAAGGATGACCAGGAATAGGTAAAAATACAAGAACCTTATCACCTGGCTTAAACACCCTATTTCTGGCATCTTTGTCATACCACATTTTCATTTTCATCTGAGAACTCTTCAAATTTTCTTGTGCTAATTTACAAGCATTGTAAAGTTTTTCTTTGAAATCAGACACATAATCTAAAAGATTAAGATCACTAGTCTCAGTCAGCCACTTTTCCTTCAACAATTTCAAAGGACCTCTAACTGTATGACCGAACACCAATTCAAAAGGACTGAACCCAAGAGACTCCTGGACTGCTTCTCGTGCAGCAAATAGTACAAGATGAACCCCTTCATCCCAGTCTTTCTCATACTGGTAACAATAGGTCTTCAGCATTGTTTTTAGGGTTTGATGAAAACGTTCTAGCGCTCCCTGGGACTCAGGATGATAAGCAGTTGATCGATACTGCCTAATACCCAACTCATGCATGACTTGCTGGAACAACCCCGACATAAAATTTGAGCCTTGATCCGACTGAATTGCCTTGGGTGCTCCTACAAAACTGAAGAACTTGGTTAGGGCCTTAACTATGCTCTTTGCCTTTATATTCCTAAGAGGTATGGCTTCAGGAAACCGAGTGGATGTACACATAATGGTAAGTAAATACTGGTTTCCAGATCTGGTCCTAGGCAAAGGTCCTACACAATCCACCAACACTCGACTAAACGGTTCTTCAAAAGCTGGAATTGGTTGGAGAGGGGCGGATGGTATCTTCTGATTCGGTTTACCTACCATCTGACAGACATGAAACGACTTACAAAACTCAGAAACATCCTTCCTTAGCTTAGGCCAATAAAAATGACTCAAAATCCTGTTATAAGTCTTATTGATACCTAAATGACCAGCCATAGGTGTATCGTGAGCTAAACTCATGACATCTCGACGATAAGCAGCTGGGACCACTATCTGGTGAACAACACGCCACACTTCATCTGGAGAAGCGTCAGGTGGTCGCCATTTTCGCATAAGGATGCCATCTTTCATATAGAAGCATTCTCCAACTTTAGTAGCCTCTTCTGGTGGAAGTGCCCTCTTACTAAGTTGAATGATATCTGGGTCTTTATGTTGTTCAGAGAGTAAACGTTCTCGGCTGAGGATGTCCTTGCCTTGGCTAACTAGTGGATGCAACTCATCATCCTCACCACCAAATTTTGGTAAAAGTTCTTTCTTCTCTTTCTTCTTCATATTGTGTGGTTCCATGCTTGTTTGAGTGCCATCAAGGTCAGATAAGAAAGTGTCATTCAAATCAATATCAACAGAGGAATTCGTCTCGTCAAAGGCTTGAGTATGGTCTGCCTCCATTTCTCGTCTTCTGGCCATCGCTCTAGTAACAGCACAGGCTGGATAAATGTCATCATTTTCATCATCGCACATGACATTGGAAGTGATTTTCTCACAAACTATAGGATCAGGTATAACCTTCCCACCAGCTAAATCGTTGCCTAACAACAAAGAAATGCCTGGAACGGGAAGAGTAGGTCGAACACCTACGATAACAGGTCCAGTAACTAAATCTGACTTCAAACTAATTCTGTGCAGGGGAACATCAATGACGCCTAGCTCCACACCCTGTAATAAAACTGACCCACCAGTAGAAGTCTGCTCAGACAAAGGAAGCACGCCCTCTAACAATAACGTCTGTGCAGCACCAGTATCTCTCAAAATCTGAACAGGTTTTATTTCGCTAGAGTCACCGAGTGAAACAAATCCCTGAGACATAAAGGGCTTATAATCCTCCATAGAATCAATAGAACTGGACTGTGAACCCTGGATATCAGGAGTGTCAGAACAAATCGAAACTAAGGCTTCTCTATCACCTCTAACTGCCGTACAAGCGTGTGGTTGAGCTTTATCAAAATCATTTTTTCTCTTAAGTTTAAAGCATTCACTGATCAGATGACCCTTTTTTTTTACAATGACTACAAGTAGGAAGCGACCCTAGACGATCCTTCAACACGTCCTGGACCGGTTTTAGAACCACCTTGGGATGAAGACTGGAGATTTGTGGAAGACTGAGACCCTGAACCACTCTTTTTATATGTGTCTGAATTGGTAGAATTACTGCTAGTCTGAGATCTTGATACAAAATTCTTTTTATGAGACAGAGCATAAGTATCAGACATGACTGCTGCCTCTTCAAGAGTTTTCACATTCTTATCTTCTAAATGTGTTTTCAAATCTTGAGAAACACATTCTTTTAACTCTTCTACCAGGTTGACTTGGCGCATATTAGCAAAAGTTTTATCAAGTTTTTTAGATCTAAACCAGTGATAGAATAAATCGTTCTCTCGTGAAAATTCAACAAATGTTTGGTTATCAAACTTCCTATACTTTCTGAATTTTTGTCTATATGCTTCAGGTACTAATTCATATGCTTTTAATATTGCTGCTTTGACCTTCTCATAGTCTGAACTTTCAGCTACCCCTAGTGCAGAGTATACCTCTGCTGCTTTGCCAACCAGTACACTTTGTAACATTGTTGACCAAACATTTTGTGGCCATTTAAGATTTTCTGCGACTTTTTCGAATTGGAGAAAATACTTGTCTACAGATTTTTCTTGAAATTTTGGAACTAATCTAATATTTTTTGCTGCGTCAAATTCATTCTTGACAAATGACGGTTCTGGTTGGTGCTGTAATCTTAATTTCTCTAACTCAAAGTGCTCTTGTCTTTCTAATTTGTCTAATTCAAATTTTCGTTCTCGCTCTCGTTCTTCTCTTTCTCGGTCTCTTTCTCGCTCTTCTCTTTCTAATTTTTCTCTTTCAAATCGCATTTTCTCTAACTCTAG